CCAAGCGCTAATTCTTGCCAGATGGGTAGCGGGGAGGTACAGGGATCTCAGTTTCATGCAGGCACGGCAGCAGAACCAATCTGGTCGTCCTGCTGCCGCCCCCACACCACGTGGATCTCCCTGTGCCTTGCCCACTCCCTCTTGGTACGCAGCAGCCCCATCTTCACCAACCTCCTGGTTGCTTCTGCTAAGTGACCTCTTCTCTGGGGGGCGGGGTGAGGGGGAAGAGGAGGCTGCTCTGGGCAGCCACTCCTGGCCATCAGTTGGGCTGGGCGATACCAGCTTTTCAACATTACAGTATATCGCCAGCCAAACATTGCAGTTTGGCGATATTCCACGATGTTGAAAAAACAAGCTGCATTGACCTCTTCCCATGAGGCACCTGTGAAACTGCCCCAGCTCTCGCCTTGGGAACTGTGGCGATTTCACCCAGGCGCTCACAGGCTGGAAAATTGCAGCTTGTTTGCGCAGCTCAGCTGGGAATTGAGAAGGTTCCCCCTCCCCAGCTGAGTCAGCCCTGGTGCTCCCCCTGCTCCCCTAAGCTGAACAGCTTCATGGAGCCCCCACCCCGTCTCTGGGCCATGGGAGCTCATTTAAGTGCTTGGCTGTTGGTTGCTGCTGTGCTTATAGCACCACCCGGCTCCAGTTCATTCTCCACAAAACTTTGATATAGATAGGAACTGTGGAAAGGCTTTCTGCCTCAACTTCAGCGTTTCTTTGTGGTCACACACCATTCTAAGCATTCCTGTTGATGGAATATTTCTTTGACTTCTATTAGTTTGTTAAACCACAGAGCCTAGGGCTTGCCGATCAGAAGGTCGGCTGTTCGAATCCCCGCGACGGGGTGAGCTCCCATTGCTCGGTCCCTGCTCCTGCCCACCTAGCAGTTCGAAAGCACGTCCAAGTGCAAGTAGATAAATAGGTACCGCTCCAGCGGGAAGGGAAACGGCGTTTCCGTGCGCTGCTCTGGTTCGCCAGAAGCGGCTTAGTCATGCTGGCCACATGACCCGGAAGCTGTACGCCGGCTCCCTCGGCCAATAAAGCGAGATGAGCACTGCAACCCCAGAGTCGGCCACGACTGGACCTGATGGTCAGGGGTCCCTTTAATAATAATAATATTTATACCCCGCCCTCCCCAGCCAAGGCCGGGCTCAGAGCGGCTTACAAGCAATAATAAAAACAAGTTGAATGATTACAACTTAAAAACAAAATTAAAATACAGCATTAAAATATTGAAACATTAAAATATTAAAATGTAGCCTCATCGCAGGAGGAGAAGGTAAAGAAAAAAGAAAGAGAGTGTGCTCTTTACCGGCGTGCTCTGGTCCATGGGGTCACGAAGAGTCGGACACAACTAAACGACTAAACAACAACATTATTAGTCCACGAGTTGCCTTTTGTTGATCAGATCGTCCGGCTGAGGTCAGGGCAGCTGCACACTCCGCAGTCAAGCGGGTTAAAGATCCCTCTGCATCATAGGAGGGCAGAGTGTAATGGCGGTTTCACTCCGCTTTATATCGCTGGTGAAACTGCTACTGCTCCCGAGTCCCTCTGCTAGCAGCGCCACTGGAGGAAGGAACTCCAGCAGAGGGACCCAGGAACAGCTGCAGTTTCACCATCAGTATACCACTGAGTGAAGCCGACACCACGGTCTGCTCCTCCTCCTGGTCCTGGGCAGTAGATTGATATATCGCCCAGGCCTAGCCATCAGTCCCACCTTCCCTAGAGCAGCGAAAGTGGCAGGACTCCTTTCCCCTCTCTGTGCTGCTTCCAGATGGGCCTTCTCTTCAGGATATATGAATTTTTGTTGTTGAGATGGACTGCTTCACAGTTGGTTATTTCGCAGTAGGGTGGGGAGCAAAATGAAGTTCTATTAAAATCATTACCGATAGAAGAAATTAGGACTGTTATTCTTAAAATTAGTTCCTGTAAAGCACTGGGGCCAGATGGTTTTCCTGTGGGTGGTACGATGCATATCTAGATTTCTTGCCCGCTAAGCTTCTTTCTGTTTATGAAAATGCCTTTGGGGCAGGTACCCTGTCAACTTCAGTGTCAATGTATGAAGCACATATTTCTCCGAAACCTGGCAGAGTGCATACTAATGGTGAAAATATAGACCAATCTCTTTAATTAATGTTGGTGTTAAAATGCTGGCAGCAATTCTGGCTAATATCTTGATCAGTGATTTCAACAGTGTGTTTCATTCAGCAGAGAGCTGACCATCTAAGATGGGAAACCAATTTAGTGGCTATATATAGTCTTTGAATGGGCCTGGCTGCACTTACTTCTTTGGGTGCTATAAAAGCATTTGACAAAGGATATTGGCAGTTTGTGTTTGTTACTTTGGAAAAGTTTGGATTTCCTCAAGAACTTATAAAATGGATTAGAATTTTATACCAACCTCCTAAATCTTAAGTAAGGACAAATGGAATTGTTTTTGATCTGTTATTTGGAGAAAGTTACAAGTCAGTGTTCTCCCCTGTCTCCAATGATATTTCCAAGCCTACAATTCTGTGTTTCTGTTACGTATCAGTCCACATTTATCCAATGTTGTAGAGCATTGAGTTAACAAAAGTTGCTTACAGGATTATCTTCATCCCCCCAAAATAAAAACAAAACCTGTTCTGTAGAATATTACCTATACTGTATTGTTTAAGTTGGCTTCTCTTGACTGCAAAATTATTCTGCCCAGTAGATGTCAGGCTTTTCCATCTTACACTGTATAGTTTCAGGCATTACAGCTAACCTTGGTTTTATCCTTCCTTCTCCACATGGCAGATGCGACACAGCTGTGATACCTTACATCTAGCTTTCACTTGCTTTCTCCTTTACTGACTGCTTCTTCGATCTTTTCTATTATTATTTTATCTACAACAAACCTGTGAGGCCGTTAAGCTAAAAACAAGTTCTTTGCACAAGGCTTCCCTGGGAGCCTCACGACTGGGAATGAATTTGGCCTTACATTGTTTTTCACTGCCCTCTTGGATTGCATACCACCCCTCACCCTCCACTGTCCTTGGCTTGAGAGCCTTGGGATATGAAAAAGTATTAGTTTCTTTCTTTTTTAAACTTGGGGTTGCGTAACTGGCTGTGCTGGTAGGGCCCTCTGTCTCGTCCTTAAACAAAGGGGCATGCCATTAAGAATGAAGCTTCTTGCAAATGGACATGTTCTGGGAAGTTCATATGAAGCTATTAAATTAGCCATGGTTAAAAAATCATGGTGGTTTGGTAGATGAGCATGTTGCAATAAAATTCTCCTAACTTCAGTCTTGGTATCTTTTGATAAATATTCTGGATCATAACATAGCTTGCAAATGGAAAATAAAACTGAGGCCCTGAAATAAAAGTCAGTATTAAAATGCGTGTGTGTTAGTGGTACATGATTCAGAATGTGGAGGCCACTAGTAACGTACTTACATAATCAAATGTCAACAACTTTTTGCGCAGGAGGGAAAGGCTAAGCAGGAGAAGAAATACTGTTCTGTTGGGCACCGGGCACCTGTGGGAAGCATCACTTGGTCATTTCCCACATCCACTCTTTCCTGAGAGATGTTAGCAAACCTTGCAGCTTGAGTGAATTAGATTGGAATAATCACTTAAAATTTCTGGAGTTCAGAGTCTTTTTTCACTCAGGAACTTTTTACAGTGGAGAGGAATAGCAGTCATTTTGTTTGAAGAGAACAACAAAATGGCTCAGCATTTAGGGATGGAGTTAACTTACAAACAAACCATGTCCTCATGTGGTTTAAAACCACACATGCACTAGCTACTAACTCAAGAGAAGGAAATGTATTTGCTTTTCTCCAACAAGGGGAAGTCTAAAAGGAAGCATGTGCTAATAGCCACTGATTTAGTGTACTCTGCACACCTCCAGAAGGCGTTGCCAGACTCTCTCTCTTGCCCAGTTGTCCTGTCTGAGGGTAAAGGCTGGAGGGGAAGAAGGTGTAACTTCCAGCTGCCTTTGCTATTCTGGCCTCACATGTGTGAAGTACCAGGTGGTGGCTGGCAAAACCAAATTTCACTGAGCTAACTGTAATTGTTGTAATAGCAGGCTGTGTATTTGTAGCATACATTCTGAAATACTTCTATTTCTCAGCTTCGCTCTAAAAATGTTTACAAACAGTTATTGCACTGTTTTCTGTTGAGGCCAATTAACAGAGCTTTCTCAATGGAAGTACACAGTGTAAACAGCAAACTATTTGCATTACACGGATGAATTCGTAGAATGACTATCACAGGGCTAAATTATCAACATTTCCCCTCCTCTGCCCACATAATGCAAGGGAGGATTTATGGCAAATTTACTTTCAGTTTCAGTGAACTGCTTGCTTGTGAACCAGAAATTGTGTTTTAAAATAAACAATTACCTGCTAACAAACCAACTTTATGCCATGAATTACACGAAGCTGCTTTCTTTGTTTACTAGCTTGCTGATTTATATGAACCTAACAGTTTGCTCCAGCTTGCTGAGACTCAAGCTCCGTTTGCCCTCTGTTCAGCGTGTAAAAATAAATTCCAAACCAAAGCAGCAAGTTCCTTGACTAGCAGAAGCATACATTTCAAGCAACATTAATCTGTACACTCCAAGTGTAATTAAATGTTGTTTGCAAAGAAGTGAAGACTAACCTGGATAATTAATTTAGCATTAGATCGCTTGTGATCAGGCCATTCCCCGTCACAAGGATCAGTCCTTTTGTGTCTGGGGGTCTTACAATAGGTAGGATTATTGTAGGTATTAATCTTCACAAGATTCTTTGAGCCTCTGGTGTACACAAATTTGCTACAAGAACATTGACAATAAATGGGATTGATAATCTTGCCAAGTTAGGTTTTAAACTTGCAGTGCAGCCAGTTTTATGGTACGGTGACCTTTTCTGATGTACAAAATAGAAAAAAATAATGCAAGGTGTGTGAGAATCCCTTTTCATGTTCGTTATTGCAATAGGGATAATATTTGAAGCTTTTTCTCATTAGAACATAATTTATAAATTGTGAGAGGCTAGTTTTAAATAATTGCTTTAATCAATATAATCTTAATTGTTCTATGTACAAACATACAAGCAACTCCTTATACAAAGAAACAAAATACCTACAGATTTTTTTTAAGGTTCATTCTGTCTCTTCCATTCTCTCGTTTCCATTTATATTGCAGATTCACTGTCAAATATTCTTGTTTTTATGGTCTGGAGGCCATGTTGAACGAATTTGTCAGAACCCTTAGTTTCAGGGAATCTATTATCGTATCTTCTAGTCGACCAGCTCTTCATTTTTATTGAATTTTGAATAGTCTCTGAAGTAAAATAATAAACTATGGGGTCAAAGCAACAGTTTGAAACTGCAATACATAGAGTGATTGGATACATAGTCCTGACAGCAGCAACTACTGAACAATTAATCCACGTTTGTGTTCTGATCAGGGAATAGAGTATTAGGGTAATGTTATATGGCACAAAACAGAAACAGAAAATCAGCAAATGAACAAAAATCATTTTAAGGACTTTTTTTTTGCTTAATTTATTCCGACTTAGTGTAACTGGCTTATTTAAAGTTCTTAAAACCATTGTGGAGCAAGTAACATTCAATATCAGTGGAATTAAAAACCCTACAATTTCAATGAAAATTATAATCCTTGAAAGATAGGTTTTCCAAATTTTTTCAGAAAAGTTTTCAAAGCATGTCCTTTGGGGGAGTCCTTCCATGGTGACATGAACATTGGTGGATTGGAAAAAGCTTGCTGGGATGCTTCCTCCTATCACAGTTATCCAGACCGCAGCGCAGATGATCTTGGCATTTCTTCTTGTTCGAATAGCCTTAGATCGAAAGGGGTGGACGATGGCTAAAAAACGGTCAATGCTTATGCTAGTCAAAAAGAAAATGCTTCCGTACATGTTTATATAGAAGAGTGTGACCGAAATCCTGCAAAGTATGTCTCCAAATGGCCAGTCTTTGGATGCAAAGTAATAAATCCTGAAGGGCAAGGTGAAAACGAAAAGTAGGTCTGATATTGCTAAGTTAAGCATATAAGTGGTTGTTTCGTTTCGTACTTTCAATACGCAGGTGAAAATGTATATAGCAACGCAATTGGATATTAAGCCAAGAACAAATACCATACTAAACATGCATCCGTACAACGTATACTTGAAGGAGTCTTCAGCAGAACAGTTAGAGCTTAGCATTGTCATGCAATGAACTGCTAAAACTAGCTGCTTCTTCAGTCAAGCCGTACCTTGTATTTTGTTGTAGTCTCCGTGAAATCCTCAGATGGTGCGTAAAACCAGTCCTTGAGTGATTTCATGTGGGTCCAGCTTGACTTTGAAACTTCACAGCTGAATTTCAGTATTCAACAGAGAAGATACCATTCTGCTGGTCACTGGCAAATAATTATTTTCTTCCAAATGCCATAGTAGTTCTGGATGACAGGGAGCATCTCCTCATCCACAGTGAAGGTGTAATTAAGCTTAACTTCTTCACATATTTCTGTAGAGGTTGATCCGTCCTGTGGTGCTGTAGAAAGTACTTCAGATAAATCCGTTTAAAAGTTACTTTCCGAGTTACGTGGGAACAGACTTCCTTGTGTTAGCACTATGCTAGCATTTTTCTTTCCTTCGTGCCGTTGAGTAAGTTCTGACCCCACAGGGTAGAAAGCAAGCCAGAGAATAAAATTCCTAAGCAAGTATTTTCTTGCTGATCTTAAGCTCTCCCCGCAGCTGCCAATTAAATGGTGTCTTTGCTTGTTCAGAGAAGGCAAACTAAAGAGCACGCAAGCCCATGCCCCACCCCTGCTTACTCAGCTTGCTAAAGTGACATGGCAGGAAGAGGAGGCTGGGCTTCAGAAAGGAAGGCTTCAACTGCAAATTCTTTAGCAAAAGTATTTTCTTTTAACCTTCCATGCCAGAAATATATTTGAACTGAGAGCCATGCAAACTATGACTACTTAGCTCAGAGTGGCAGATCAAAACCTTATTAATACTTTATAAAGTTAGGTGTGCCTTAGGAAGCATAATTAAGTAAGCAGTTTTTAGTTACATTTCATTTTTATTTCTATGGCTGTCTACCATTTTAATTCATCATTCTGTTGATTGATCTGTTATTAGGTTTAAATATAAGTGAATTTCCATTTTAAATGCTCAGTGTAGGTGTTGGGGCACATTGCAAGAAATGTAAGAACTTGCAAAGTTGCTTAGAAGTCATCTTTAATGTTTTCTTTTTCCGTTCTCTGTTATAGTAACTCAAAAATCAAAATAGTAATTTTCTCTCTCTATTTTTAGATTACACTGAAATGGCATATCTTTTTTTACCTCTTGACACAGTGTTTCCTTTCAGAGGAAACGCCCAATAGTAGAGAAATGAAACAGAAAGCGCTGTATTCCTCTAAGGTGTCCAGCTGTTCCACAGGCTTTCAGGCCCTTGCTACCAGAGAATGCATTTATAAATGAATCAGGCCAGCATAGGTAACCCTCCACAATCCAAAGTGCAAAGCAAGCATTAGAAGGTAGTTTAGAAAGCATCCACCTTTGAGAAGAGATCACTCTGAGGTTCTGATCCTAAAGACAAGTTGTCAGTGCTTGATAGAACACAGTTACAAAGCTACATAAATGTAAAAAGGTAAAGGTACCCCTGCCCGTACGGGCCAGTCGTGTCCGACTCTAGGGTTGTGCACCCATCTCACTTAAGAGGCCGGGAGCCAGCGCTGTCCACAGACACTTCCGGGTCACGTGGCCAGCGTGACGAAGCTGCAACTGGTGAGCCAGCACCAGCACAGCACACGGAAACGCCGTTTACCTTCCCGCTAGAAAGCGGTCCCTATTTATCTACTTGCACTTGGGGGTGCTTTCGAACTGCTAGGTGGGCAGGAGCTGGGACTGAAAGACGGGAGCTCACCCCACCGCAGGGATTCGAACCGCCGACCATGCAATCGGCAAGCCCTAGGCACTGAGGTTTTACCCACAGCACCACCCACGTCCCTTACATAAATGTATGTTACTACAATATGCAGTGGACCTTTAGAAAGCATTTTCCCACTGTGAACTCACCCATCCCTTAAATACCTTTCTCACCCCTATGTATGTACGCATCACCTAAATTAATGGATGGTTTGACAAGTATAGAAATGCTCATAATAGATAAATATCTCTGCTGCTTTGCACCCTAATTTCAAGTACGATTTCTTGGGAAATGATTCCTGTTTCTGGGATATGTCAACTCTAAAAAGGCCATGTGCAAAAGGCTGGCTAAATTTAACCCTATATATGTTACTGTGATTTTAATATGCTGTGTTAATCTTCCAGTGAAATTAATCTTGGGTGACTCTAAAAACAGAATGCAGTAGTGAAAATTGGTGATGATATTTGGATGGAATGTTTAATAAGACCAACTTCATTAGTATTATCCCTCCAATGTAATTTAGCAGCAACTGTTCTACAGACTTCAGCAAAGAAGTGGGACTGCAGAGCGTCTCCATTGGTTAACCTAAGAGGCCAGCAACTTTTGGCTCTTCCACTCTTTGAATTGTTTCCATTCCAGCTGGTCAATACAATAATTCTGTAACTTAGAAGTAGTGCCTGAGATTGCTTTCTTCCCCCTCCTTACCAATGCCTGTTTCTTTTGTGTCATAATTTATGGCAGGAACTGAGTTTTCTTTCTTTCTTTCTTTCTTTCTTTCTTTCTTTCTTTCTTTCTTTCTTTCTTTCTTTCTTTCTTTCTTAAATTTATGCCCCAATGTTCCTCCCATACGAGCCCAGGGTGGCAAACTACAAAATCGAGCTCTACAACAGCCTATTTAGAAACACCTAAAAGCAACCCCAAACCTTCACAGTTGCTAATTTCAAGGCTGTCAACCATTTAATGGCAAGGTGGTAAAAATGTTTTAAAATTTCTTCTAAAAATCTCTGACAGACACACCTCACCTGGGAGGTCATTATGCAAACAGGGAACCACTACAGAGAAGGTCGTGCCATGGGTCAGTCCAGCTGGACAACAACCAGAGGTGTCACCACCAAGAGGGCCTCCCCTGCCAACCATGGGGCCCAAGATGGTTGGTTTTGGGGGAGTCCTTTAAGTACTTGGTCCCAAACCATTTGGCTTTGCATGCTAGGACTGGCACCTTGAATTGGACTAGTGTAGAGGCTGGTGGCTCTATCGGGCTGCCCCATTTACCAGCCTGGCATCCACATTGTGCACTAGCTGTGTCTTCAATGGCAGCCCCCCCCCCCCCCCGGAGCGCATTGCAGGCTCAGTGGGAGACCCCTAGAGCATGAGCACCAGAAGTCAAGCTGTCTCGGTCCAGGAGTGGCTAGAGCTGGCAAACCAGTCTGAGCTGGGCCTAAGCACCCAGCCACAGAAGATTCAAGTGACAAGTTGGAACCCTGGACTACTAATAGTAGTAGCAAACTATTTTGGAAGCATTTTTTCAGCTGAGAGGGGTGCAAAAAATGGTTTAAATTGTGTTCTTGGTCCTTCTGATCCTACTTCCATAACTCCTTGTTGGTGTGAAGAGAGTAAGAATGTCCTCAAAACACAGGACTTAGTGATGTACCTTTTTTTAAAAAAAAACAACAAACTTTGGGAGATTTTATTTTGTGAGGAGTTTGACTTGTATCTTAAGATAAATTTCTGAAGTAAGTGCCGTTAGCTAAGTTCACGGAAAGACAGTTCATCTTTCCTTCTGTGAACTGCCTTAATGGTGTAATCTTTTGTGCCTACTCAGAAGGAAATGCCACAGAGTTCTGTGGGATTTATTGCCACATAAATGTGCCTATGATTGCAATCTTAAGACTATCCCCGCTGACCTTTGAGTGAGCCCCCCCTTGACATTTTTTTATGGGTGGACATTCATAGACTGATTGCGCTGTCCACTTGTGCTGTGTGAGAGACAGACAAGGGCTTGCATTTCAGCATCAGAAAAATGTAAAGTATGCAAAATATAATGATCATTTATTCCTTTTTGTATTTTCTTCCGGAACCTAATTGGGAAGACTATTCCTGATGTTCTCAGCTGACATCCCAAGGCTTTTATTTCAGTAGGAATTGTTTGATTTAGAGGACAGAATAATATTCAGTCTTGTTTTTTGTGGCCAAGCTACCTTGGGAACTGAACGTTTCTTTTAAAATTGTCAACAATTTGGCAATCTTACTTGCAAGCGTAGGCAGTGGTAACTTAAAGTGCATTGTTAGGATTCTTTTTGTCTTTTGAAAGGACTTCATGGGTTAGAAGAGTGAAGAAGAGGGGCATGCAAGTAAGATATGGGTTTTCCTCCTCCTGTGTGTGTCCTGGAGCAAGCCACTTACTAATCTGTATTTTCCTTATCTATTAACTTTGGCTATATTTACCTAACTGAGCTGAGGCTTACAGGTTGACTCAAGTGGAACTCTGAAACTGGACTACTTTGCAGTCAAATGTTTTCCTGTAACAGAAGGTTTTGCAAAAATATCCCATAACTTAAACAATTTCTTTAAAATAAATCATGTTTAAAATAATGTGTAATTTGGCACCCTAAAGTGTCACTTAAAAGCTTTGAAAAGGAATTTAAGATAATGAAGTTTACACAAAAACCCCATCAAGGAATATTTTCTGTAGTTAGAAGTGCATAGAATGGGTGTACAAAGTCCTGTTTTGTGGGTGTGATAGTGGACTCTGCATTATTCCTCTGAAATGCTTTTCTACAAACTGCAAAAGTTCTCTGGTTGAGTCCCTTTTGTCTCTAGGTAGCTGAGAGGGTTTCTGTCTGCAACCCTTGGTGGAATTATTTACTTACTTCACTAAATGGTTCAGCTTTATTAGTCGGAAATAAATCATATTTCAGTGGAAGTTACTTCCAGGTAACATTAGAGGCAGCACTTTCACTGTTGAGCCTCTCTGACTGCTACAGAAAGAAGGTGTGTTGCCCATTCCGAGTCACGAGGCAGGGTCTCGCCACCATGAAATGAGCCTGGCTTGTGATTTCCTTCCAGAAGTTCCTGCTTCAAACACGAGGAACTTGAACAGTTCCTCGTTTAACAGGAAGTTAATGGTGCGTTTTAAAATAGCTAAAACATTGAGCCCGGTTCTTTTCAGACACAGAATTCTTCTGTATTTGTCACATACTGGTTACCTACATTGAACCGTCAGTCCACCATTACAAAGAAATAAAGAATTGTTTGAAAATAGTTTTTAGTATTTACCTGTCTTGGTTCTTAACTGAAAGGTTGGAAGGGAGCAGCTTGAGAAAACTGGAATGCTTCCGGTAATTCTGTATTTCTAATGGGCAGCCAGACCAGTTAGAGTTTAGTGAAATCGCCAAGTTCTATCAGGTTCCAAGTTCATAAGGGTATTGTTCTAGCCAAAGGCCATGACAAACCTGTAGCAATAATACAGAACATACAGCCATAATAGAAGCCAAAATCCATGATGAAAGAGAGAAGGTACCTGAGACACAAACATGATTAAATCTAGGTTAATTTCAGATCAACCCCCCCCCCATCACCCAAACAACATACATCTATTTTATCTAAAGCGTTTTTCCTGATTTGTTTTGCAGCTTGTGCATAGACAGCTGCTCTGTGTATTACAAAGCTATTATTGTCACTCAAACTCAACCGTTGATGCTGAGGCGCACCTGCTTGCTTATGCAAATAATGATTTCAGAAAGCGATATAAGGGCGAGGCTAACAGATAAGGAGTGATTTCTTCCACCTGAGATTACAATCTAAATACATGCCTACTATTGTAGTAGACTTTTTCTTTTCTAGTTATTTTCAGCTATTTAAAAACTCAAGAGAACTCCAGTACAGTAACTAATCAGATTCTTATGTTGCTGGCTTTTGTTTTAGGATTCACCATTATTTGAGCTT